GGTCCCTCCTGCACCCGCAGGTCCCTGGGGGCCAGCCCGGCGCCCCTCCCCCGTCTTGCTGTGGTGGGCTTTCTGGGGCCCCTGGCCGGGCCCTCGGCCTTCACACCTCCTCCTCAGGCCCCACCGGGTCATGCCCTGAGCCCCGCCTCCCAACCCTGCTGACCTCTGACCTCTGCTGGCTCTCAGGGAGTCTCCTAGTTCTGATGAAGGATCGAATGAGCTGCAGCTGTGACCCGGGGTGCACCCCCAACCATCTCACCTCCTGGGGCGTCGGGGGGGACAGCCCCTCAGACCCCCATGATGTGGACATGGCGCCCCCCGGCCTGCTCTGGCCTGAGCTGTGACCCAGAAATCGCCCTCACTGTGGCCTATGTGAGGGCCTGGAGTCCAGGTGAGGGCTGGTGAGGGGCTCGGGATGGAGGGAGCCTGGGGAGGGGTGTGCAGGCCCCACTAGACCACCGGCCCTGCCAGCCGCCCCACCTCCCCTCTGGTGCCCAACCCCCGCTGTCTGGCCTGGGGGCCCAGGGTCATGGGCTGGCACCGCACGTCCAGTAATCCCCCCCTCTATCTGGGGGCCAGGGGTGCCCAGCAGCAGAGGCCCGTGTGGCTGGGGCCCAAGGGGCCAGGGCTCCCCCCGCCCCCTTCTCACAGGTCAGGGGAAAGGCATCCCAGTGTGGGGCTGGGGCTGGAGACAAATTCCGAGTTGGCAGACCCGCGAGGTGGGCTGGGAGGGGGTGGAGGGGCTGAGGTGACCCTGGGTTGTGGGCGGGAAGAGGTGGAGGGGGGGCACTCAGGGATGAGCCGCCGGGAGGGCCCCCCTCTTCCTGGCCTGGCCTCCAGGGCCCGACTGGCCAGACCTGCTGTCCTTGTCCAACAAGGTGGTTTCGTTTTGTCCCCGTTACCAGCCTGGCCTGGTGCCAACATGGGAGCAGAGGGCGAGCTCTGTCCTCATCTGTGCCCCCCACCCCACCCCTGGCGGGCGGGCTCCTCCTCCTTCCTATGCTCCCCGAGCTGCTGGGAACCCTGCCCTGGTCTCCCCACCCCTCTCCCAGCCCAGCCCCTGTGAAGTGGAGAAGCCTCGGGGCTGCTGTGGGGCAAAGGGGGTGACCACACCTCCATGCGGCACCCAGGACCCGGTTATGCCCCCCTTCCCTTCCCCACAAGGACTTCTGCTGGGCTTACCCGCCACTGGTTCAGTCTGGCCAGGCTCCCTCCCTCCCGGCAGCGGGCAGAGCGCAGCTCAGGGACCGGGGGTGGGGGGCCCTCCCTGCCAGGGCCTGGCCCTGGGAGGCTGTTGGCCACGGGGAGGGCAGGCGGTTCCTGGGCACCGTCCCCAGAACGAAGGACAGAGCCCAGGGAGCCTCCCTGCAGCCCCTGGTTGTGCACACCCCTCGCCCTCCCGACCCAGCAGACGTCCCCCACAACCCCCGCTCCCCCTGCCGAGAGCCGTAAACCTCAGGGGGGGTGTCCCAGGCACAGGTGAGCAGGTGTCCACCATCCGGGTGGCAGTGGACATGGGCCGGGCAGGGCTGTCGGGCCAGCTCTGGGGTGAAGCCCTGGCCCTCCGTGGCTAGCCACCTGCTGCAAACCAACAGTGTCCCCTGCTCACCAGCCCCTCCAGCTGGCACTGCCCACTGGTCATGCCTCCTGGGCCCATGGGTGTCCTGTGCAGGGGCCCCTGGTCACCCCTGGGCTCCACGTTGCCCACCAGCAGCTCCTGTTACAGAAAAGCCCTCCAAGCAGCAGCCCCGATGGGTGGGGCACTGGGCGTCCTGCCTGCCTGAGGCAGCTGGGAGCAGGCCCTTCGCCCAGAACGCCCGATGGTGGGGCTGTGCAGGAACTTGCCCGTCGGCCGGGCGCAGGCTTTGGGGCAGGGGCCCTGGTCCTTGT